CGGTAATTTTGGTCGGTACATTAAGTGCTGACCGTTTGACCAAAAATCGACCAACTTTGGTCGCGTTTTTTAAAAAAAAAATTTTAATTTTTTAACCGACCAACGTTGGTCGGTAATTTTAAATATAAATTCTTAAATATTATAAAATATTTTAAATAATAAAATAATTATTAAAATTTAAAAAATTGGATCCAGATTACCGACCAATGTTGGTCGGTAATCCAAAATTTTCTTGTCTGACCAGCTATTGACCAATTTACCGACCAACGTTGGTCGGTATTTAGTTTTAAAAAAATATAAATATTTTTTTTCCCCAGTTTGCGTCCAACCTGGACGGTTTTTGGTCGCATTTTTTGACCAACCAACATTGGTCGGAAATAATTGGTCGGTTTTTAGCAGATTTTTAGTAGTGAGTGAGTCTTAAAGGTAGGCCAAAACCTAATTTCTTGTTTCAAAGATCTCTGAGGGTATGGTAAAAGAGGGGAGTGAAGGAGCGGTGGGGTATGAAGAAAGATTGGAGGGTATTTTTAAAACGTCACGTGAATTTAAAAAAAAAGATAAAAAAAATCTAGGATTTAAAAATTCTGAAAAATTGATCTATTAGTGGGAAAGGGCAAGGATGACCTCGATAGGTAATGACGGGTAAAATTACTACCCATTTTAAACGGAAGGTATAATTGTTCTATTTCGTATAGTAAAATAACGGTTTTGGTCTTTTTTCGATAATTATATAACATTTGTCTTCTAATTTTAATCTCTTAATTATGGTTACTCAAGTTTTTACTTAACTTTTGGTGAAATCTTGTGATTTGGGTGTAAATACCGAGTTCGAGTTGAATTCCACTGATTCTCTATTACCTAATCGGAGCTTTCCTCTTAAATATGTACAAAAACAATCTCAAGAGAGGGAAAATATGAAAAAATCCAGAAAATATTTTTCTAAAACAACCAAAAAGAAAAATTACACGAAGGAGCCATTACAATGACGACTGTTAAGATGTGGTTAATTTTGTTGATGACATCTTCATGTTCAGAAATTCATCTCTTTGGCAAATGATTGGCTGGTCAAATTGAAAATGCATGCTTTCTGAATTAGACCAGAGCAACATGAAGAAAAACAAATATACAAAGCCGAATTCAAAATTTAAATTTTATGTGTTAGAAATTGAAAATTCTACCACAAGTTATTGTTTATTAGATTTAATTTTATTATTTATAAAAATTTTGATGCATAAAAAGAATCTAAATTAAAATTACTGATTTCAGATGAATCCACGAAAATTAACACTATAGCCGCCTCGAATATATGTAGTCAAATTTTCTTATGTGCAAATTGCTAATGCACTAAATGATGATAAATTTAATATCCCAGTTGCGTATATACATCAAACTTCCACTTGAAATATCAATTTCTAATATTAAACTTACATAATTGATTGGTCCAACTGCTTAGCACATAGTTTCTTGCGTGTGGGCAACCAATTTGGTTTCTATCTGGCTGTTCACTGGCCCTACCAACCAATAACATCTCAGATTTAATATCTACGATAAGATTATTAGGATTTCATTTGTATTATCCGTTAAATTAATATTTTGCTGCTGATGTATCCCTTCTTTCCTGTCTGGATAATTTACATTATATTTATTGCACGGTAATATCGTTTTACGTAGGATTTAAATTATGATATACACTGATGTAATAGTAGGTGATTAATATCTTTTTACCTGATATAATAAGTCATTTACCATGTTTTCGAGATTTTTAATTCATATTTGATATTAAAGGTTACGTGTTTATTTTTTTAACTTTCAGTGTATATTTTTAATTTAAGGAATTGGGTTATCAAGTTTCAGCCATTATCGTGTTGAAAAATAGTTGCTTCTATATATCTAAGTGACTCCTTTTCTTTTATGGTATTTTCAAAGTTAGGGCATTAGTTAGCTATTCTTATTGCAAAATATGAAATGTTAATATTTATTGACAGCTTTTCTTCAGTTTATGCGCTTTGTAAATGGTTAATTGAACAAATATTTAAGTTTTATACACTAAACTCTGTAAAAAATATTAGTACATCATAAATAATCTAATCGTAATTTTTATTTTTTGACACCATTAATATATAAGCAAAAAAAGCTCATTAGACTTCCTACGCATTTTTCTAGTGTGTATAGTACCAATTGGTTCGATGGTACTTCTCAGATGATCTTTTACTAAAACTATCTATCATCTTTCTCACATTCAATTTTTTTTCTTTATTTGGTATCTTGTATTCGTATAGATGAGGTTCGACTAAATCTGAATTCGTATTGAAAAATTTCACAGTGGGTGTAAAGAGGCAAAACACTTCCTAACAAAGGTGAAGCTATGTTCAGAGTTCGAATCTAAAACCTCTAATTAAGGATAAAAAAATACTTATCACCGCGATTGTTGGTTTTTCATATTCAGTTTACATTGTAGCAGAAGTTGAATGCACATCATAATTTTGTTCGCATATACTAGACAATGTAGACATAGTTTCTACATCTTTTTGTCGATGATGCCATCACATCAACCATAATTCTTACACGCAATTAGTTAGAAGTTGGTATCCTAGTGGCGGAGTCAGGATTTTCATCAAGGGGAGTCAAAATATAAAGAAACATACTCACCAAGAAGTCAATGAGTGTCATTATATAATAAATAGTATATATTTATTTTATTTTTAAAAAAAAAAATTATACAGTGTAATTTTCCGGCGAAGGGTTGACACGCATGTGGCTCTGCCATTGTCCCCCCCAAAAAAAACCATCCCACAAACTTTGTCTTGTCAAAGAATATTACACTTAGAAAATTTAATCACGTCGTTAATTACTTAGACTAAATTGTATAATGTGGTCTCAGTTTCATTTCATAAAGAAAATTAAAGACGATGAAGAAGAAGAAAGCATAAATTAAACTGAGAAAAAAGGAAATGAGAAACCATTTCAAAGTAACGCACATTTTATAGTATTGAAGAATCAAAAGGAAAAGCGTTGAAAAATGTACATACACACTGTTTGAGATAATCTTGTACAAACTACAAAGTACAAACTAACACAGGTAAGAGAGGAGGGAGAAAACACTAACAAAGAATATAACAAATCATGTTTTTGTCCTCTTTCTTATACAGTAACCACAAAACATAGAAAAATGAAAATACAAAAAAAAAAAAAAAAAAAAAAAAAAAAAAAAAAAAAAAAAAAAAAAAAAATCAACTCTTACACAGAGAGACAAACAAATTGAAATATTCATCAAGCTTTTGGTGGTTCTGGTGCTGCTGCTGCAGGTGCTTCTTCCACCTTGGCAGGTGCCACGTCAGCTGCGGGTGCCACCTCAGCTGCAGGTGCAGGTGCCACCTCAGCTGCAGGTGCAGGTGCTGGTTCCTCCTCTTTCTTTGCTTCGGCTTCAACAACTATCTCTTTCTCCTTCACCTCAACAGGAGCAGCTGCAATTGCCTCGGCTTCAGAGGCGGCGGCTACTGAGGCCGCGGCCTCTTCTTCTGAAGAGGAGGCGGCTACTGGGACCGCCGCCTCTTCTACTTTCTTGTTTTCAGTGACTATGAAAGTAGAGACTTTCTCGAACACAAATAGAACTGGACCAGATACATAGGAAGGCCCAAAGTTTGAACTTGCTTCACTTACTGCTTTTGATCCCGGAAATTCTTCATGCAAATACAACAAAAAATCAACATTTCATACCATGAAAATTATAAAGTGTTTAACTTTTATATAACGACAGTGGAAGAAAATTTACTTTTATGAAGGTTACATATAAATATCTTTTGAGTTGATTGATAATATCGGTATATACAAGTAAATCTCTAATATAAAGAATTTTCACATCCTAAAACAACAGTAAATAAATTCCATAATAAATGGAAGTAGTTATCAGAAAAATAAGGCACACACCTACTACAACAAGTCTAGTTACACAAATTGTGTGCAGAAGTCTTTATGCTGCTAATATCCATATATATATACAGGTTAATTAAACCCTAATGGAATAAATAGTACTTCCTCAATTTTATTTGATGTGATGGGGTTGGAGTGCAAGGGTCAAACTACTTAATTATTTTTATATAAATTTAGGCCTAGGTTCTTTAAATTTATTGAAAATAATATTTACTTTTTTGAAAAATACATAAGAAGTACTATCATATGTCGCAATAGTTAATAATTTAAAAATAAATTTAAGAATATTAAAAAAATCATGATCAAATAATTAAGAAACTCATTGACTCCGAATAGTAAAATTATAGTGTTACGTAAAATAAAATAGAAGTAAATATAATTGCTGACATATACAGCAAATACTACTGTGTCATATGAAAATACAAAGTAAAAGAAATGAAGGCCTACCAATCTTGACAAGCTCATCAAGTAATTTCTGGACTTCAGTTGAGTGTTTCTTCAGTCCTGAAACCTTTGGTTCTTTCACCAAAGTCTTTTTTTTTCCATCATAAAGAGATAAGAGCAGTAAGTTCTATGTTTGTTTGCAATAATATATAGTAATAAAGCATATATTATTACTATATATTTTTCCTTTTTAATATTTAAATAAAGTATGTAAATAAAAACCTTGATCTCAACTGCAGCAGCTTCATAAATTTCAACAACTTTAGGTTGGAGCTCAGTCTTCTTATCTTCGAACTCTTTGCTGTATAGCTCCTGAAATTTATTAGACAATAACTCATATTAATTTGTTTATAACTAGGTAAATAAGCAAAAAATTACCCTGCCCTTGTCTTTATATTTTTCTTCTTTTTTGCCTCTTTTATGGGCTTAATTTGAATAAAAAGAAGAGTTCAGCTTCTATAGACTAATGGTATAAAGAATTTTTACACACTCAAGCTACCAAAAAGTAGTTATAGACAATAAATGATAATAAATGAGATTAATAACATATACAAGTAAGACAGATTATTTGTTACCACATATTAAAAAATACGCGATAATGTAAATTTGTTTTTACCTTAGCCTCGTCAAAAGTCTTGCATGCCTCAGCAGCAGCAGCCTTCTTTGGTCCATTTTTATCAAAAATCTGCTTGATTTTTGGAACAACCTTGGCTTGCCAGTAACCCATCTTTATTTCTTTAAATATGTATATCTGTAGCCAAAAAAAGAATTGTTAATACTTAAAATTCTTGCTATACATGTATATATATTTGCTAATCCTAATTAAAAATTTAAAAAGAAAAAGGAAGTAAGGAATTAGGCATATTTGCTATTGTGAACACCTAGCATAAGATTATGAAATTAATAAACTTAAAAAAAAGAATAGAAAAGATGAAACACCAAAAGATTTAATACTAAAAATGAAGAGAAAACAAGAAAGAATTAAGTGGTGTTAGTTTCACTTACATGAATGAAGAAAGCAAACTGAATTTTCTCCTCTTTGTTTGCAAATTGTGGCTTTAGCTTTTGGCTCTCTAATAATAAAACAGATAACTGTTGTGCTAGTGTTTATATATATGTGGACAATTTAGCAAAACTCTTATTTTTGTAGCTAACTGTGCTTCCAAATATAAGGCCTGGCACAAAGACNATATATATATGTGTGTGTGTGAAATACATAAATATTTGATAATAATATCAGTGGTAGTAATAGTTTCTTATTTATATTAATATAAAATTATGTATCACCCTCTTTTTCTATTATATAAGAGGTCTCAAAAACTTAGACATTATGAAGTGAGGGAAATGGTAAATTAAGGTTTAAATTTTAATAGAGATAAAATTACTTTAAGTAATTTCTTTCGTCTGTCTAAGCACTAATTAATATAGTTACTCAGCATTCATACTAACGGGAGGTAACATATACAAGTAAATAATTGAAGTATGTATAAGTTGAACTGGACTACAGTTATTTAAAAAAAAGAGGTCTCTCTAACTTATTCAAGGCTTATAATCGTCCTTTCGCGATTTAAGAAATGTTGGGGTTTAGGTTTAATTGACTAAACTAAGCAAATGATATAATTTGGGGGACAGGAGCAGAATATGAAGGGCAAAATGGGAAATGAGATTGACAGCTAGCAAACGGCTCAATCAGAGGTGGAGTGGGACCCAAGCCAGCTTGACAACTTGCTCACGTGGCTTCGCTGGATCTATAAAAAGATCACGTCGTCAAACAAATTGCGCCGTTGAAAACCACCCTCCTTATTCAATCCAAATTACATATATTGCCATCCGATTTAAGAGATTACAAACTTGCACGTTTTATCCTCTATGTTTTATTCTTTGCACGAATGAGGAAACTTATGTCTTGTTTATAGGTCAAGCACCTTTTATACATTTTTATTTATTTATTTTGTTTTAAATTTAAGTTTTAATTAGTTTAAAAACTCAACACATAGTTTTCCCTTTATATCTATTCTTTTTTCAATTGCATACCATTTATAATTGTTCAAACTAATATAAATATCTCTTTTTGTGACCAGCACTAATTCCAAAACAATTAGTGTAACACACGTAACAATCCTTTGTATCAATCATGCAATTAAATCTGTTAAATTGAAAAGGACAAATAATTATTTAAAGATAGACTAATTTTTATTCCTTGTTTAAAAAGAGTGGATTGAAAATCTAACTAAAACAAAATGCAACAAACAGGTCGAATCAATAAGTAGTTGATGGAGTAGTACTTTTACCTACTTATAAATAGAATGACTAAAAATTGAGATGTGTATGCCAAAATTTAAAGTTTAAGAGTTCAGAATTTTAGTCTTTTTAAGTTATTAAATTTTAAATTAATATTTTATAAACTTCTTAAAATAAATATAAAATTTGGATTAAGTTACTCAGTTGATCGAACCCGTAACCTACACGCTAACTCAGCCCTATATATATGTGGGGTGAGGGTTGGTTAGAAGGTTATTGCAAATTAAAAGGATCAATGATGAATGTATATTTGATAAATGATTTGATAGTAGGGCCATTGGGGTGATGATAATAAGTTGTCAAGCACATGGAGGTGATTATAAATTAAAGAGGTGATTAAGGAATTAAGACATAATAAGAGTTGGAGACAAGGAATATAGATTTGTTAATTTATTGGGTGTTGATTGCTTAGGATTATTTATAGACTGATGACTAGGAAGGACACCTAACAGAGAGAAATTCAAAAATAATCAGATTTATAAGTAGTAATTGAAAAATAGCTACAGTTTAAAAAATAATTAAAATTTAGGTACTTTTCATGTAAAGATAAATTTGAACGAAAATACTGTTCAAAATCTGAAAAATATTCCAGCATAATATACTGGAGTTCGAATTTTTATATGTGAACTTCCAGCATAGTATACTGGAACTCCATCATAATATACTAGAGTTCCAGTATAATATACTGTCCAACATAATAAGCTTGAAGTTTATACACAGGTGCTCCAATCTCCAGTATATTATGTTGGAACTTTCCGTGTGCTGGAGTTCCAGAATAATATGCTGGAAGTTTATACACAGGTGCACCAATCTCCAGTATACTATGCTGGAACTTTCCGTATTGCAGTAAAATAGTGCCTATTTTTTAATGACTTTGCAAACATTATCTATTTATCAATTACCACTCTGACAACTGACTAGCCCGTGCAATTTTCACCACCTAACGCTCTCTAAGTAGTTTTTTATTTTGTTTTTAAAAAAAGGAGGTTTAAGTAATATACATACAGTAACAAAAATATTTTATTATTAATATAATTTAAACGTTTTTAAGTTACTTATCATCTACCCTGATTACTAAGCGTTAAATAGAAATACTTATAAGTATAATTACTTCTTAAGTGATTTATTGTCGACGCATAGAATTTTAACAAAGCGGTCGTTTTCTTGTCAGCAAATATACTTTTTTTCTTCAGCGTCATTTAATAGGTTCAATTATATAACAAAATCAAGGCGTAAATTTTATAAATAGTCATATAATTATATTTTTTTTCACCAAATTTATATAACTATAATATTTAACACAAAAATCACAAGACTTTGAGCTACTAACACAAAAGTCACAATTTCCAGAAAATTTAAGTTTCAAATGCAATATTGTTTTACTTCAATTTTTTTAATTGAAAAAAGGCATAAATACTCCCTTGTACTATGGTCGAATTTTTATCAACACACCTATTTTAGGAAAGTTGGGTCTTCCCGTAATTATAACCTTTTTGTTAATAGGTCAAGGTATTGTGGTTTTTGTATTAAAAAATATAGTTATATGACTTGGGTGAAAGAAAAAAGATTATAGTTACATGACTATTTGTGAAATTTAAACTTGTGAGATTTATGGTTTAAAATTGTTATCTCTTGACCACTTCTAGATTTTTTTCTGTTCTTTTAAATAGTGAAAGATCTTTTCTTTAGGGCTCGTTCTTACAAATTACAACACTAGACAATTCCAGAGGGGCTTATGTGGTTAAAAACTTAGTCGTATTCGATGTTACATAAAATCAAAAAATGTATACTATTAAGAAATGTATGACATAAATGAGATTCTTCTATACTTAACATGAAATTTGGGGTTTAAGTTCAGGGAATGAAATTTCTTTCGCTAGGGAGCGCTTCCCCTTATATAAGCTCTACAGAGCGCAATTTAAATTAATTGGGTAGTGACTTCTGGACACCATATGGTGAAACCAAAAAAAGATGCATGATATATATTTGCACGTAGACTTTTTTCACTTAATCATAATTACTTAATAGTATATTTTTACTTTGCAGTAAACATCGAATACAAATATATTTTTTGCGTCTTATATTATTCCTAGGGGCTCTTTAGGTTGTTTCTCTTGTATTTTCCTGTTTCTCCCCTTACAAAATATCCATTGATTATGCATCACACCCTTTTCATTCTGTATTATGGTAATCACTTGGATCGTAAGAATTTCATTCTAGAAAAAATTAAGTAATACATGATCGAATATGTTCCTGTTTCAATTTAATCAATATAATTATTTTTAAATTTAAAATAAAATGATTAATGTTCGTTTTAAATATATTTTACAAAAAGGATTTGTGCAGCAAATTATATATTTGACAGTATCAATAATTTTTGACAACTTTTTGAAGAAAGTATTTTGTAGTCCTGCCAACAGACAGTAAGTGAGATGTACATTGGAGAAACTTGCTGTTACCAGCAAATGAATACACCTTGTATTGCTTACCAAAACCACACATATNCCCCCCCCTTTTTTTGTATTTTGTATATTTTTAATAAATTACCAGAGTTTAGATGAAGGTACAGAAACATGAGCTGTTCTGTCATTACCTTATTTCTTACTCTTTTGTTTTTCGTTGGCATTTTGATAATTGCAAAAGACAAGTCACCTTAAATAAATTAGAAAATCACTCTATCCTATTCTATTCTATTTTTGTATGGATGTAAAATACATGGAGTAACAAGGAAGGATCCTAGAAGACCATTATATATGAACTTCATTTTATTTTTTATTCTTATTTGGTGTCTGATATTCGTATTGAGGTCCTGATTAATTTAAATTCACGTTGCGTAAAGTCTATTCAAAGGGAAAAATACTTTTTACCAAAATCTTTTTCATACCTAGAGATCGAACCCGGGACGTTTGTTAAAGATAGGAAATCCTATTCACTGCACTAGCTAAACTTTGATGGTAATGAACTCAATTTCTATGTAAAATTTAACCAATTTTATATTATACTAGGAAATAAGATATAAGTCTAATAAAAAATAAACTAAAAGAAAAAGAAGAAACAAATATCCATGAGCCACTATATTAATCCTACTACTATAACCTAATAATACTAGGAATCTGTAGATAAGATGACGTAGCTTTGATGTTTGACTGAAGAATTCTGTATTACTGTATATTAATGGCTCTTCTGTCATCTTGAAAATGATCTTGATTTTAGCCATTCCCAAATTATTTTAGATTTCTTAATTGTTTTTTCTACTAGCATACGTCAAGTGACAACCCAAACGTACTCATATATCTCTACAATTATTAAACGACAAATAATATCCACAAATATTTACTCTAATTTTTTCCACTCCGATTTTGTACAGGTGCCCGTTAATAAGGATTTGCATCCTATAAGATCCACTAAAAAAATATTTTCCTAAGATTTTTCGTATTAATTAAGGATAAATGAATTTTATTATACCACCATAACCCTATGATGATCACTTTATCATTATTAGATGTTACATAACATACAATATGTATTATTTGTATATTATGCTCTTTACATAATGCATAACATATTGCGAGAACATAGACAAAAGTCACATAGTATACATTATCTCTGTAAATATTTACCCAAACAAAATTTCTTATTCCAAGGCCGTAGATGGCTTATTAAATAGCAACACTAGTCTTAAACTTGACTTAATCAAAATATAATTTTTGATGGGTATTATCATCCTAACGTGCAAGGTGGCAGGAAAAATAATTTTAGTCCCTTTAAATTTTAATGATGTATAGGAAGGAAAATGAAAAGTGAAAATAAGCTTTCACGTGAATGTTTGTGTAGGCATATAAAATT